GCTCAAGGACCTGGGCCATCCTCCACTGCACTCCCCGGCCACAGCAGAGAGCTGGCCTGGAAGAGGGGCAACTGGGACAGAATCCGGTGCCCCGACTGGAACTAGAACTGGGGGTGCCGGCGCTGCAGGCAGAGGATTAGCCTAGTGAGCCGCGGCGCTGGCCTTGTAGACAGTCTTACTTTGAATGTCTGGATGTGAATGTACAGGAGAAAAAGGCCTGGGGCAGTGTTGGGTTCCTATATCTTGACCGTGTTACTCTTTGTGAGCATAGTCGTTTACTCAGATCAGATTAATTAAAAAATTCATTCACATCCCCTTAGAATACGAATGCTGAGGTAGAAGGACCTTTGATGTCATCAGCTTTCCCTTCCTCGTACAGTTGAGAAAACCCGTGCTCAGTCAAGCTCAGAAACTGAGCCAAGGTCATGTAATGATTTGAGACAGTTGATCTTTGCTGCTCAAAGACCAGCAACACAACTACCACCTGAAAGCTTGTGAGAAATGCAGAATCTCAGGTCCCATCTGGGCTACTGGATCCAAATATGCATCTTTTAAAAAAATTATTTAAAAGGCAGAAAGAGAGTGATGGAAGAAGGAGGGGGGGAGGGAGGGAAGAAGGGAGGGAGGGAGGGAGAGAGAATCTTCTATCCATTGATTTACACCCAGGGGCTCATGATGGTTGAGACTGGGCTAGGGCAAAGCCAGGAGGTGAGAACTCAAACTGGACTCAGAAGCAGAGCCAGCACTTGACCCTGGGTAATCTGAAGGCATCCCAAGCAGTGTCAACTGCTATGCCAAATGCCCACCCCCAAAACAGAACATTTTTCTTAAAGATTTTATTTATTTATTTAAGAGGTAGAGTTATAGAGAGAGGGAGAAACAGAGAAAGGTATTTCATCCACTGGTTCACTCCCCAGATGACCACAATGGCAGGAGCTTGAGCCAACCCAAAGCCAGAAGCCAGAAGCTTCTTCAGATCTCCCACTCTGGTGCAAGGGCCAAGCACTTGGCCATCTTCCACTGTTTTCCCAGGCCATAGCAGAGAGCTGGATCCAAAGAGGAGCAGCTGGGACTTGAACCAGTGCCCATATGGGATGTTGGTGCCACAGGCAGAAGCTTAGCCTTCTTATGCCACAGCACCGGCCCCCAAACATAAGATTTTAAAACTCCACCCATCCCTCCCTGAACCACGCTGCTCCTTTCTAGGCATCCCCATCTTAGATGAGGACACCAGCATTTTCGCATTATACGATAAATATTCCCAGTTGCTCCAGCTCCACACGTGCCCTTGTTGAAGTTCTCCCTTTCCACTGCCATCATTGTGGTCTAAGCCACAACTTGCCTAAACTGACCTTCCTGCTTCTGATGGCACCTGGACCACCCCCTGCCCAGAGCACAGCAACCAGAGTGGTATTTTTAAAAATATAAATTGGGTCAGGGCTGGCACTGTGGTGTAGCAGGTGAAACTGCCACCTGCAGTGCCGGCATCTCCCATAGGCACCAGTTCAAGTCCCAGCTGCTCCACTTCCGATCCAGCTCTCTGCTATGGCCTGGGAAACCAGTAGAAGATGGCCCAAGTCCTTGGGCCCCTGCACCCACCGCTTCCTGGCTTAAAATCAGTAGTGACTTCTTGTAGAACAAAATTCCCTTTAGAACAAAATCCACATATCCCTAGAGGGGCTGGTAGCCTGTCTGCCCTCCAGCTCCCTTTCTAGCTGGGGAAGAAGCCAGGCTCTTCATTGCCTGGAGGCCTCAGTGCTTGCTTTTTTTTTTTTCCATACCTGGAGACTCCCCTGGATCTGTGCAGAGCTGATCTTTTTTGGTTTCAGCTAAATACCTCCACCACCTTGAGGGTCATGCCCTGACCACCTTCCCTAAGCTAGGGCTTTCCCACCTACTCTATCTCGCTCACCCTTGCCTATCTTGTACTTACCACACTGTACGATTATATAGTATATATTGTCTACTTATTATCTCTGCCACTGGAATGGCAGCCCCATGGAGGTAGTGACCATGTCTGTCTGAGCCTAGCATGGTGCCTGGCTTTCAGTCCATGCTTCCTTTATGAATAAGTGAATGAGAGTTGAGGAGGGTGCCTGAGCCTTTGATGTTCTAAAATTTGTGCTCGGAGGTCAGTTTCCTCCATGCGCTTCTGGAGCTCAGGCTCTGCAGTGAAGCATGGGCAGATTTATTACTTGGATGACCACCGGCTAGATGTGTGACCTTCAGGAACTTTCTTGGTTTGTGCATCTGTAAAATGGCAGCAGTGGTGCCTATCTCACACGGTGGTTTTGAGTATTAAACAAGATGGTACATTAGATAAAAGAACTGGAGATACAATGGCCATACCCAGTGTGTGGGTATGATGGCTGCAGAGTCATCTGTGCCATTCTGGGTCCTGTGTTTGGCCCAGGAGGCCTAGTTTTCATTAAATGTAAGTGTGCCCCATGTATCAGGACGTCTTTTGAGTACTAGCAATGGATATTTAACAAAGTGCTTTATAGCCATGCCCTTTCGCTCAAACACCTTAACTACAGTTGAAGGGATAGGTAAGCAAATAAAGAGTTGCAATTATGGGATAACATTCCAAAGGATTTGGTCATTGAGTCTGCCAGATTTCCAAGCATCTTCTGGGTTCTAGGCATTACATTAGGCCCCAGCTTTTCCATTTCAGACAGCCCAGAATGGGCAGCATAGTCTGGAGGAGTGGGTCAGGCTTGCTTCATACCAGTTCTGCCACTAGGTTTCTCTGACCTTGAAAGTGTTCATCCCAGAGGCCGGCACTGTGGTGCAGTGGGTTAACACCCTGGCCTGAAGCGCTGGCATCCTATATGGGTGCCATATAGAATGAGACAGGGCTGCTGCACTTCTGATCCAGCTCACTGCTATGGCCTGGGAAAGCAGTAGAAGATGGCCCAAGTGCTTGGACTACTGCACCCACATGGGAGACCTGGAAGAAGCTCCTGGCTCCTGGCTCCTGGCTTCGGGTCAGTGCAGCTCTGAATGTTGTGGCCAATTGGGGAGTGAACCATCAGATGGAAAACCTCTCTCTCTTTCTCTCTGCCTCTCCTCTCTCTGTGTAACTCTGACTTTCAAATAAATAAATAAATCTTTGGAAAAAAAAGAAAAGAAAATGCTCATCTCAGCCTGTAAAGCAAGGATGTTGGACTACACAGTAGCAGTAGCAACCCTTAACTGCAATGCTTGGGACTGGAAGTAGTTCAGATCTTGCATATTTCGGGAGTTTTGAATATTTGCATATAGATAATGAGGTATTTTTGGGAAGGGACCCAATATTCGTCTATGTTTCAACTATACCTTGAGCACATAGGCTGAAGGTAATTGTATATAGTATTTTTTGTGTAGCTGCATCTTAACCAAGATCTATCACATACAGTTAGGTGTGGAATTTTCCGCTTGTGGTGTCAGGTTGGCACTTTTTTTTTTTTTTTTTTTTTTTTTTGACAGGCAGAGTGGACAGTGAGAGAGAGAGACAGAGAGAAAGGTCTTCCTTTTGCCGTTGGTTCACCCTCCAATGGCCACTGTGGCTGGCGCACTGTGGCCGGCGCACGGCGCTGATCCGAAGCCAGGAGCCAGGAGCTTCTCCTGGTCTCCCATGCGGGTGCAGGGCCCATCCTCCACTGAACTCCCGGGCCACAGCAGAGAGCTGAACTGGTAGAGTTTCACGTTTTAGAGCATTTCAGGTTTTGGATTTTTCAATTAGGGATGCTCAACCTGTAATGGGACTAATTTTTATGTGAGACTCTTGGAATCATTCTTCTGTAGTTTACAGTTCATGCTTTGTTTTTGTTTGAACATAACCTGAGTTCTATTTCACTTTTTTAAAAAATTTGAAGCAGTGTCAAAATTGACAAAAATTAACAGAATAACACAAAAATTTCCTGTCTACCCTTCTTCCAGATTTCCCAAATACTAATGTTTTATCACACTTCCTTGATTGTTCTTCCTGTGTATAAATTTTTCTCCTGAAGGTATGGATGTGCTAGTTCTTTATCTCTAAATGTTTCTGTGTACATTTCCCCAAAACAAGGACCTGTTCCTCCATAAGCACAGTACAGTGTTCAAAATGATGGTGTGACACCAATACGATTTCATCCAATGTCCTGATGTTCTTCATAGCACAAGAAACCATATCCCAGCTCCAGAGCTTTTCCAGAGTCTTGTCTTACACTGAGTTGCCCTGTCATTTTAGTCTTTTTGAATCGGGAGCAAGATAAAGTTGCTTGCCTTTTTTTTTTTTTTTTTTAATGACTGACTTTTTTTTTTTTAAAGATGAGTATCTTGGATCTTTTTAAAGTAAAATTTTGTTTATTTCTTTCATTTTATTTGAAACTCAAGAAAGAGAGATCTCCCATCTGTTGGTTCTCTTGCCAAATGCCCCCAACAGCTGAGGCTGGGACAGGCCAAAACAAGGAGTCTAGAATTCCATCCAGGTGGCCCACGTGGCTTAACAGAGACCCAAATACTTGAGCCATCACCTGCTGCCTCCCAGGATGCACAGTAGCGGGTTTCTGGATCTGACCCAGAGCCAAGTTTCAAACTAGCCAATCTGATATGGGCTGCAAGTGTCCTACTTAGAAGTGTCTTAACTGCTACTCCAAATACCTGCTCTGACCTTGGCATTCTTAAAGGGTAGAATGTCCTCCCTTAGGGTTTCTCTGTTTCTTCACAACCAGGTTGAAGTTAGGCATCTTTGGCAGAAATGCCGCACAGGTGACGTGTCCTGCTCAGTACATGGCTTCAGGAGGCACCTGACGATGACCGTTATTACGGTGACGTCAACTTGGCTCACTTTGTGTGGTGTCTTCTAGACTCTCCACTGAAAGGCTACTGTCCTTCCTGTTTCAGTTTGTAACCATTTTCTGGGGAGGCATTTTGAGACTCTGTAAGCATCCCACTTTCCATCACACTGGCCCCCACTAGAACCAGCATCTGACTCCTGCCTACAACAATCCATGTTCCTTCTTTGACTGCCCCAGATTGTGTCCAGTTAGACCTCCAAGTGCTCTCCCAGAACCCGCAGGACTGGAAGCAGTCATCATTCTTCACCCTGGAGTTTGATCGGTGAGCCCATTTTGAAGTCTCAGTTCTCCGGGGACGGAGGTGGGGGCAGGGGAGCAGTGCGGTTAGGCTATGACAACTTGCACCTTTCACGTCTCTTACGCAGGCTCCTGCAAGTGGACATCTCCTTTCGTCTCCAGGGCATTGACCTACAGACCATTCGTTCCCGAGAGCTGCCGGACTGCTACGTTTTTCAGAACACGGCAAGTGTCTTTGTCGTCCTCAGCGACGTTCAGTTGCAGTGTCCTGTTCCTTTTGTAGATGTGGGGCGTGAACCACGCCAGCACACGTGTTAGCTGCGGCCGGGTTTCAGTTTCTGTGATGCTATGGTTGACCTGGAGATCATTACATCTGCACAGGACACACGCCCCTTCTAGCCTTTTCCAGCTAGATTCCGGGGTTGAAAAGAGTAGTTTGCAAAATGGTTTTGACCTCCAGCTCTCCTAGTCCATGAAAGAAAAACACGTTGATGACATGTGTTTTACATATCTGTAGGGTTCTGCCTAGCTTCAAAGGAAGGACATCGCAGATGTTTTCAAACCTCAAGGCAGAAGCTGCCTCCCGGATCTGAAGGCTGAGTGGCCAAAGAGCGGCTTCCCCTTTCATTTTGAGACAGCTCAGGGCACTGCTCGCTCTTGTGGGGGTGGGAGAGCAGGCTGACTTCTCACAGTCATGGAATCCCATTCCCCCCCCCCCTTTTCTTTCATTTCTTTCTTGTTTGTTAAGGGGCTGCCAGAGGAGGGGAACCTTTTTTTTCTACTGGGGCCAACATCATTCATGGGCCATACAAAATTATCAACTTAAAAATTAGAGTTACTGGGGCCAGCACTGTGGCTCACTTGGTTAATCTTCCGCCTGCAGTGCTGGCATCCCATATGGGTGCTGGATTCTGTCCTGGTTGCTCCTCTTCCAGTCCAGCTCTCTGCTGTGGCCCCGGAGGGCAGTGGAGGATGACTCAAGTGCTTGGGCCCTGCACCTGCAGGGGAGACTGGGAGGAAGCACCTGGCTCCTGGCTTCAGATCAGCGTAGCTCTGGCCATAGCAGCCATTTGGGGAGTGAACCAACGGAAGGAAGACCTGTCTTTCTCTCTCTCTCTCTCTCTCTCTCTCACTGTCTATAACTCTACCTGTCAAATAAATACAATTTATAAAAAAAAAAATTGGAGTTACTGAATGTAGAGTCCAGCCTATAGTTGCCTTAGTAGGGCCAGACCAAATGATTGCGCTGGCCACATTTGGCCTGCAGGTCCACCCTTGCCCAGCCCTGGGGGAAACTGAGTGGCTTAGCTGCAAGTTGTATCCACAGATGACTGCTTCATCCCACACAACTGAGAAACACTTCCTGAATCCCACTGTGTGCCAGGCATTGTTCTACATCTTCGAGGTACAGTGGCTCCTTGGAAACCTACAACCAAGTGGAAGAAACAGACAGAAAAATGAGTAAACAAAGAAGTTAAAGGGAGTGGGAGGGCTTGGATCTAATGGCCAAGCCCCTGGTCAGGATGCCTGCATTCCACACAAGGTGATGGGGTTTGAAATGTGACTCTGGCAGGTGCTGGGAGGCAAAAATGATGGCTCAAGTAATTGGGTTCCTGCCACCCAGCTGGGAGATCTGGATTGAGTTCCTGGCTCCTGGCTTTGGCCTTGGCTTGGCCCCAGCCACCGCTGGCTTTTGGGGGGAGTGAACCAGCAGGTGTACATGATATGGAAGAATGCCTCTTTGCTGAGAGGGGCATGGCTAAGCTCCTGGGGTGAGTGCCCTGGAGGAGTCTGGGAACACCTGAGGGTTAAGGAGCTGGGGGGTGTGGGGACCACACAGATAAGGTCATGAATGACACGTGTTCTGGTCAGCAGAGAAGATGAAACCAAGTTGACTTTCCTATTTTGTTTCCTTCTTTGGATTCTATCTGCTCAGTGTTCTAAATGCTTGTGAGAAGTATTTTAGGGGTTCTCCCCAGGAGAAATGGAGATGGTGAGTGCCAATGTTCAGGGAGGCGGCTCTAGGTTCTGGTGCAGAAATGCGGCCAGTCGGGCTGACTTCTCCACCCTGTGGTTCAGTCGTGGTAATGCACCCGGATTACACAGAATTTGGCTTGTTCTTAGAAATGCTGATGTCTTAGGTTTGATCACCATTCATTCAGTGCACCAAGCTCTTGTGAGTCTTTTGGATTACCCAATGTGTTCACTCTAAAAGATAACTTGGCATAATTTACATATAAACTTTGAGTGATTTGAATGATTGTCTGAAATTCCACAGCATGGGAGGTTGAGGGCCTTTGGATGTCTGTTCAGCCTGAAATCTTGGAGCAACTTTTGTCCTTTCTGATAGCATTGTGTGTAGTTCTTGAAGCAAAATGAATCAGAATTTTCAGCCTTGTAGAAAATTAGCATTTCATGCATAAGGGACGAACTTGAAGCAAATGCTTTTTACACGCAGTTTGATAATGATGGTCACCGAGTTCACGTGTCAAAGACTGAATTCTGCTCTGCTGCTCTGCGCACTGGGTGGCTGTTTTACTCTAGGATTTCCTTGAAGCAGAGAACTGAAATTGTAGACCCTGGTAGATCTCCATATGTTTACCTTTGGACCGTACTTGTACTTTTTCGTCAGCCATAGAGAGCTGTGCAGAAATCACAGGATGAAGACGTTGTCCAACTCGTTCTCTTCAGATCAGCACTGGTTGGATGCCAGGGGTGATTGCTAAGCAGAGACTTCCCAGCAGGTCCCATTCCCCATTGACTGTAACCCCTCTCTCTCTGTTTGTGTCTACAGATCACCTTTGACAACAAAGCTCACAGTGGCAAAATCAAAGTCTATTTTGACAATGCCGCCACCATCAAAGAATGCAGAGACTTGAACATATCTGGATCCAGTACGTACGCTCTCTGCCGACCTGTTGTGGGTTATGGCGTGATCAAGGGTGTTTAAATGCTTGGAAGGAAGAGTTCCAGAGGACAACAATCCAGCATTAGATTCTGTCAAGTGTGTCCCTAGCCTTTGTATTTTTGGCTTAAGTCGGCAAATGCTCATTCCACACCTCACCAGGGAGTTGCTTGCCTAGAGGGGTAGGAGCTCAGGCTCCGCGGCCAGATGGCCTACGCTTGGAGCTGGCTCTGCTTATGGTGCCTGTGCCCTTGGGCAGAGTTGCCCCTCCGTGTCTCAGCATCTCCCTCTGCCACATGAAGGTACTAACCCTGCTCACCCCCAGGATGTGGAGCAGTGAATGCGTTCGTGGTGGAGCAGAGCGCCCACTGCGAGAGCTGAGCCTAGTTAACTCCTAGGCACTGTGGAACGGGGAGAAAAGGCTGGAGGGAGGGCAAGTGATGTGTTGGTGGAGCCTCTGACACGGTGTGGATGGGAATGAGTGGTGGATCTGCCAAAGGTGGGAGGAGAAAGAGAACCAAACTTACACGTGACTGGGGCAGAGGAGGAAGGGAAACCACGACTAACCCTAACCCTAAGCCTAACCCTGCGAAGGTGTACTTTGGTCTGAGCCTTGGACAATGGGGAAAGAACCCTTGGGGCTTGGATGCAGCCTCTGCAAACCCTGGGTCATTTATTGAGTCCTTACTGGGCAACACCTCTGAATCCACATGTTCACAATGAACCTGAACCGCACAGACCCTGTTCTGCTGGCTCGGTGAGGAGTCAAGATGACATTTGTATCTTATTTTTGTATGTGTTTTTTTTTTAAAGATTTATTTATTTGAAAGTCAGAGTTACACACACAGATAAAGAGAGAGAGAGAGAGAGAGAGAGAGAGGTCTTCCATCTGCTAGTTCACTCCCCAATTGGCTGCAATGGCTGGAGCTGTGCCATTTCAAAGCCAGGAGCTTCTTCCAGGTCTCCCATGTGGGTGCAGGGGCCCAAGGACTTAGGCCATCTTCTACTGCTTTCCCAGGCCACAGCAGAGAGCTGGATGGGAAGTGGAGCAGCCAGAACTCGAACCAGCATCCATATGGGATGCCGGCACTGCAGGTGGTGGCTTTACCCACTATACCACAGCACCAGCCCCATGTTTTGTTTTGTTTTAACATGCAGGTTGAGTTTAAGTGACTTTCCCTGTAAGCAGATTTTCAGAATGGAATAAAATGTGCAATGCCCGTGGGAGGTATTTTAGATTCATTGTGAACTAGAGGTGACCTGGGGCCCGCGGCTTTGCAGATGCGGTGTGTCCAGATGGTTCTGAAGGGTTGGATCCACAGTCCTGTTAGCGGCCAGGCCGCTCTGTTAGAAAGTGAATCCCAGCCCCAGCACTGAGCACTGGTGCAGCTGTTTTCTGTGGGAAACCTTTGACCTTTGTCGCATATCAGATGTGATTTGGAATGATCTTTGTGAAGATCAAAATGGGAGAAAGAGCGAGGCTTTCAGATATGTTGCCAAAGAAGTACTTAACTGCCTACCCACAGGGATCCTGAAACCTTAGGGTTTCTCCATGCCTGTTCTGGGAAGAGAGGAGCTCTGGCTCCCTCCCGTGGCCAGTGTGGAGAAAAACAAGCTTCGCAGACAACCGTTGTGGAAACCGTGAAACTTCCCATCTGCTTCTCCCAGGAAACCAGATTCCATCACTAGCAGAATGCGAGTTTGAAATCAGTGATGTGGTGTAAAAGGTTTCAAAAGTTAGTTTGGAAACAAGCCTAGGAAATGTTTTGTTTTTCTTTCCCCTGCATAAAGCTGTCTGATGGGTTGTGGCTGTCCTGGTTTTGAGGGCAGTGGCTCAGGGCAGGGCCATGTCTGGTGGGGCCCTTGTGCCATTTCCAAGAGGTTCTGAAGTTTCTTGCTTCGACACACTCATCCAAAGCTTCTGCCTCCCTTGTCAGCTCTTACCACCTCAAGGCAAAAAAAGAGGGAATGTCGCTTCCTCCAAGTGTGTTGCCTTTTATGGCTGCTGGTTTCTGTTTTCAAGTACCCACCAGCCCTCACTTAACTTAGCACTCTGGGGATGAGGGCCTCCGGAAGATTTAATGAGCAGGATTCCCCATTGCTGGGTGACATAATGGTATTGCAGGAGGGAGGGCAGTACGTTTGGAGAACTCTGCCTAAGGGTCCCACAGGCAGGCCAGGGACGCGGTGCAGGGACCTTCCCTAAGCAGGTGCATGTTCCTGGACATTTTCCTGTGTTTTACAAACATAAGATTGGAAAATGTTTGTGTGGGGTGTGGTAACGTTGTTCAATAGAGTAAGAAAGTGATTACAATGTCAAAGAATACTGTTCTTAACACACCAAACTAGTCTTCTCAGTAATGCAAAAAAGGGGCTGGGGCTAGGGTGCAGTAGGTTAAGCCTCCATTGCCTGCCATGCCAGGATCCCGTATGGGCACTGGTTCGAGTCCTGGCTGGTTTGAGTCCTGGCTTCTCGACTTCTAGTCCAGGTCCCTGCTAATGTGCCTGGGAAAGCAGCAGAAGATGGCCCAGGTCCTTGGGATCCTGTACCCACGTGGGAGACCTGGATGGAGTTTTAGGCACCTGGCTTCAGCCTGGCCCAGCACTGCCGCAGCCATTTGTGGAGTGAACCGATGGATGGAAGATTCTCTCTCTCTCTCTCTCTCTCTCTTCCTCCCCTCTCCAACCCCCTTTCTTGCCACTCTGCCTAATACAAACAGAATGCTACACTCGTGGGAGGGGTGTTCCTCTTTCAGGTGTGAGTGTGCTCCCATCTGTAAGGCGCAGCACAAGCAATCCAAGAGACTTTTTATTTTTTGACAGGCAGAGTGGACAGTGAGAGAGAGAGACAGAGAGAAAGGTCTTCCTTTTGCCGTTGGTTCACCCTCCAATGGCCGCCGCGGCCAGCGTGCTGCGGCCGGCGCACCACGCTGATCCGAAGGCAAGAGCCAGGTGCTTCTGGTCTCCCATGGGGTGCAGGGCCCAAGCACTTGGGCCATCCTCCACTGCACTCCCTGGCTACAGCAGAGAGCTGGACTGGAAGAGGGGCAACCGGGACAGAATCCAGCGCCCCGACCGGGACTAGAACCCTGTGTGCTGGTGCCACAAGGCGGAGGATTAGCCTAGTGAGCCGCGGCGCCGGCCTCCAAGAGACTCTTGTTAGTTCATGTTGGAAAGGAAAGTAGCAGATGCATTTCACCAGCCTCTCAGTTCCATCTTCCCAAGAACTGCCCTGTGTCGTCCTTTCTTGTTGTTTTTGAAGATTTATTTATTTACTTGAAAGGCAGAATTAGAGAGAGAAAAGAAGAGACAGAGTGAGCAGGATCTCCCATCTGCTGGTTCACTTCACAATTGGGCCAGGGTGAAGCCAGGAGTGAGGAACGCCATCTGGTCCCCCACGTGGGTGGTAGAGGCCCAAACACTTGGGCCATCGTCTGGCGCCTTCCCAAGCAGGGAAGCAGCATCAAAAGCAGAGCATCGGTTCTCAAACTGGCACTCCCATTTGAGATGCCGGCATTGCAAGCGGTGGCTTAACCTGCAGAGCCACAACGCTGGCCCTCATCTCCTCTTCTAATTCTCATGCATTGTGCCACTCACACCCCCTCCCTCCCAGGCTTCTTGCCTCTCTCTGGTCTCTTGGAGAGGCTCCTAGAACAGTGGCTACTATTCTATTATTCAGTGTCCAGCTCTCCCTCTCAAGGCAGGGCCGGGGGTAGTGCTGACCCAAACATAGCAGCTGTGCGCAGCATCAGGCTTCAGCACGCTTGGAAGTAAATGAAGAGTAGGAAGCAGAACAGGAGAGCACCGAATGATCTCAGTGGATCGTAGGAAGGTCTGAGCTAAGCCAGAGACCGCGGGGAAGGAGAAGGCACAGCACCGTGAGAGTTGAAGGAGAGACAGCCACAACCTGGTCTCCAGTCCAACTCGGGGAATTGGGGCAACCGGGTTTCCTGGTTTCCTTTCTGGGGAAGCAGTTCAGTCTGGACAACCATGGCAAGCAAGGATGACGCAGCAGGAGCTTGTATTACTCAGCCCTCCGTGACTTTATATTTTAATTTTTATTTATTTGAAAGGCAGAGGCAGCACCGCAGCTCACTAGTCTAATCCTCTGCCTGCAGCGCCGGCACACCGGGTTCTAGTCCCGGTCGGAGCGCCGGATTCTGTCCTGGTTGCCCCTCTTCCAGGCCAGCTCTCTGCTGTGGCCAGGGAGTGCAGTGGAGGATGGCCCAAGTGCTTGGGCCCTGCACCCCATGGGAGACCAGGAGAAGCACCTGGCTCCTGGCTGCGGATCAGTGCGACGCGCCGGCCACGGCAGCCATTGGAGGGTGAACCAACAGCAAAGGAAGACCTTTCTCTCTGTCTCTCTCTCTCTCCCTGTCCACTCTGCCTGTACTGGCTGCAAAAAAAACAAGTGAGACTTCGGAGATGCTTTCAAAGAGGTTAAAGGACGTGGACAGAGAGAGAGAGGTCTTCCATCCACTGATTCACTCCCCAGATGGCCACAACAGCCGGAGCTGAGCTGATCCGAAGCCAGGAGCCAAGAGCTTCTTCTGGGTCTCCCATGCAGGTGCAGGGGCCCAAGGACTTGGGCCATCTTCTACTGCTTTTCCAGGTCATAGCAGAGAGCTGGATTGGAAGTGGAACAACTGGGACTCAAACTGGTGCCCATAAGGAATGCCAGCACTGCAGGCGATGGCTTTACCTGCCACACCACACCGCCATCCCCCCCCCCCCCCCATGACTTTAACTACAGCATCTGTGAGGAGCTTCTGGGGCAGTGAAAGGTTTTGACTCAGAGCCCGGAGGCTCGCATTTTAAGATGGGGCGTCAGGTGGAGCCTGGCAGAGGTGGAGAGGGGGCATGGGCATGATCACCTGGCGAGCCAGAGAGCAGAGCCACAGGGAGCACACTGTTTCTCTGCCCTCCGTGTGGTCTTTCTGATGCCAGTTCTCTTCTGTCGTGGAACACAGACACCCTAGCAGCCTGCGCCAGTCCTATTACCTCCCGAAGCCTCCACTTAGACACCATCATGGGATCAAGCCTCCACCTGCATCTCTCCCCCAGTAGCACTAATCTATTAACTGTTCACAAGAGACTTCAGGACTCGGATGTCTTCATGAGTCTGGGGAGCCAAACGCTGTTCAGTTCCCAACAGGAGAAGCCAAGGCATACGTCCTGGTGGCATGTGCTATGCATGGATGCATTAGAGGACTGGAGGGATGGGAGCGTTGGGAATTCTGTGCCGAGATGGGGGTTTCTCATCTGAAACCTGAGCCTGAAAACAAGAGATCTGAGCATATGTGCCTGAGGACAGGCGCTGTTCCAGGCAGAGGGACCAGAATGTGCAAAGTCCCGGAGGTGAGAGCAGGGAAGGAGGAAGAGCAGTGTGGCCCCGCAGAGTGGAGAAGGAGGGGGCCAGGCAGGAGAGAGTGCATGGAGGAGGGTGGGGACCCTGCTGTGCGGGCTGAGAACAGCTGAGGGTAGAGTTGCATTTCCCTCCGGTGCATTCTCTCTGTTCCTGTGAATTCCAGAACAAAACCCTGCTCTCTGCTCTCCTTATTGTTCTTCCAAGAAGTTATTTTCTCTTCAGGCAGAGAAAGCTCTTGCGGTTGGCCCTGTTTGCTGGGGAGGTGCACAGGGAGGCCAGATGCAGGCACAGGGGGTTCCTAGTGGAGGGTTCCCATTTGTTTATCCTCGCCTGGCTGCAAACTTGACATCTACACTTTCTTGTGAAAGAGCTCAGGGTACACCAGTCATTTTACCTTTGTTGAATTCCTTTCTACAGTCAATATTTATAAATACACTCCAGCATCCTGGGTAACAGCTCACTTTAAACGCCTGACTCTTCACATCGGGGCGTGTGTTGCCTTGTTCATAGATTTCTGCACGAGCATGGTGTACATTCGTCCCTGATACTCCCATGCAGGTGCGTTTCACCTTTGTGTTCTGTTCTTGTTCCTCAGTTCAGAAGAATACCCAGTACGTCCTGGTGTTTGATGCGTCTGTCATTGTGATTTGCTTGGCATCTCTCACGCTGTGCACCAGATCCATTGTCCTCGCCCTGAGGTTGCGAAAGGTAAGTGTGTGGTTGCACCTTCTCCTCCCTGTCTCAGCCTGTGCCCCCTGTCTCTGCAAACAGTGCAGGGCTCACATTGTGCCTTTGGACCTGCCCTGTCTGGGACCCCTTCTCCAAATAAGATCTTTCTAGTAATGGTCCCTCTCTGCGACATTAATCAGCCCGAGGTGTAGAAAGGAAAGACTATGGGTGTGTTAGGTGGGATCACATCATTATCCTGCTTAAAACTGAGCCAGGGATTACAGGTGCACGGTGCAGAGCTCTCACGCTTGGCAATGTTTCCAGAACAAATGAGACCCTTTTAAATGCAGCAGTGAGCCTCAGAGCAGAGTAACAGCATGCGTGGGATTCATCCTGTGTCTTGAAATCAGTGTTCATTTTGACAGGGAGCCTTGGTAAATGGCTTATAATGAAGCATCAAATACTTTATTTTTCCAATAGTTTGAAAGTGCCCCTCCTGAGTTTCATTTTACCTTTTCACATGCAGGGCTCTTAGGAATGTATGCTCCAGCTCCCCCACAAACTTCTGGTTTGTGGCATGTAAGTTCTTTTTTTGTTTTTAAAATATTTATGTATTTATTTGAGAGACAGAATTACTGAGAGAGAGAGAGAGAGAGAGGGAGAGACAGAGAGAGGTCTTTCATCCTCTGGTTCATTCCCCAAATGGCCACATAGCCAGAGCTGAGCTAATCTGAAGCCAGGAGCTAGGAGCTTCCTCCAGGTCTCCCATGTGGATTTAGGGGCCCAAAAATTTGGGCCATCTTTTGCTGCCTTCTCAGGCCATCAGTAGGGAGCTGGATTGCAAGTGGAACAGCTAGAACTCAAAGCAGCACCTGTGTGGGTTACCGGCACCGAAGTGGAGGCTTAATCTACCACATCACAGCACTGGCCCCTTGTGCGTAAATTCTTACCTGACTCAGGCAAATAGAAGTCAATGGGATGCTGTTTGCAGAGCAAGGAGTAATCATTTTACCTTCCTCAATTGTGACCTCTGTCAACTCACTTTGTAAATACCCACCTCTTTTACCTGTCGTCCAACCCCCTTGATGTTCTGAGTCCAAGGTCAAGGTCCTGTCTATGCGCGCACATGTTCTGCGGCTGGCCTGCTTGGCTTGGGTCCTGGCTCCGTCTCGCTGATGATGGGGTTCTCAGGGCTGCCATGGATCTGATGAGTTGATGATATGCAGAGTGTTTGGAATGAACTGAGTGTCAGCTAGTAAGTCTAGAGTCTGTGGGAGGTAGTGCATGTGTGTTTAGCCGTTGAGTTCATTGGCGGGCACTTGAATGCTCCCTTATTGCTGGTGTGCATCACAGAGAAATGTGGGCACTATAATCTCTCGAGGGAGAAAGGTCACCTCCCAGCTGGGCGCCCTGCTTCCTATTGGCTTCTTCCAGAGGGCAGTGTGGTTTGTAAGGCGTGCGTTCCCACCTGTCTGCTGCAGAGATTTCTACAGTTCTTCCTGGAGAAGTACAAGCGGCGTGTGTGTGACGCTGACCGGTGGGTGTTCATCAACGGGTGGTATGTCCTGGTCATTGTCAGTGACCTTATGACTGTCATCGGATCCATACTGAAAATGGAAATCAAAACCAAGGTGAGTGAGGTGCAGCCCATTTGGGACCGACCTTGCATTCTTCGTCCCCTTCTGTGTGACCACAGGCAGTTGAAAGCAGAAAATCCCGCAGGGGCTATGTTGAGTCTTGTTTCTCTCACTTGATTGCTTATGAAGGGGGAAAGGGAGAAGCTGCTCTACTATGGAAAGCCATAATCCTAGGAATATGCCCCCAGGAAATCTGTCAGCATCTTCAGAAGAGTGACTGAAGTCTGCTGGGGCAGCAGCGGACCCATAAACCATCACATCCCCCTGAACTTGTGTCAAGAGGCAGCGGGGGCTCTGACAGAGGAAGGCAGGGCTGGAACACTTGAGTGTCCCCCCCCACACACACACACTAGTGCTTGACACGTCGTATAAATCGGTTGATTGCATCTCCGAAGTCTCACCTGCTTGTCATGCATCCAGTCTGCCCCGCCTGCTCTGGTGTTGGTCAGCGAGTGGCACCTACCTGGCCTAACCCCTCCGGCACCTCCCTCGCTCCATCTGACCATTTCCGCTTCCTTCAGGCTGTCTTGCCCTCTGGTCTCCATGGCCATAGCAGGTTTCTCACTGGCATTCCCCTCTTCAGCCTATCTCCCTCAGATCCATCCACATGGCTCTCAGAGAGGTCTTTCTGGAAGTATCTCTTGCTGTCTTGTTGCCTTCTACAACCCAAGACCGCCTTTGAGCCGATGAGGCCTTCCCTCAGCCTTGCTCCCAGGGGCTTCGTTTGCCAGCTCCATCTCTGCCTCCCTGCTCCAGCTCTGGCCCTGATACTGCCCTTCCAGGACATCTTGTGCATTCTCCACACTGCAGCTTGTTCAACCTTTGACCATTTGCCTCGGGAGCTTTCTCCAACCTGTCCTGTACTTACAGCTCTATTCCTGGGTCGTGCCTGTGGGAAGCCTGCTGGGAGAAGCGAGGTATTGTGTCTCCGTTGCACTTAGCATGTTATGTTAGAATTGTGTTTGTTTCCCAGAATTCCTCGAGAGCACAAATTGGGTTGGCAAATTCTGCTGGAACTGGCTTTTAAAAATAGCTGAATTGTACTGCCTGGTACTTGACAAACTCTATCAGTTTATAGTCTTTAATGCCTAGGTCAGTGGTAAATGCAGTTTCTATTTGGGGAAGAAAATCCGTTCAACCAATTGAAGAACTAAAAAGAAATGAGAAGGCGTTTGAAGCTCTGGTCTCTATTTCTCTTCTTTTTTCTTTTAAAACATCTCTTAGACTCACCTGCAGGCAGAGAGATAGTCCATTCTTTTCCATTCAATTTACAGTGAGGTTAATAGGATGAGTAGAACAGAATATTTTACTTATCCATCTTTTTTTTTTTTCATTCCTTAGAATCTTGCAAATTATGACCTGTGCAGCATTTTACTTGGGACATCTACGCTCTTCGCATGGGTTGGAGTCATCCGATACCTAGGTTATTTCCAAGCGTATAATGTAAGGAGCTGACCTTGCACACTGACTCGGCTATGGACCCTCATGTCTTCTTTGGGTCCTGGTGGTTATTTTTTCATTTGCCCTGATCTGTCCTTGTTTTTCAGGTGCTCATTTTAACAATGCAAGCCTCACTGCCCAAAGTTCTTCGGTTTTGTGCTTGTGCGGGTATGATTTACCTGGGTTACACCTTCTGCGGCTGGATCGTCTTAGGACCCTATCACGACAAGGTGTGTAGCACTAATTCTGCCTTCTGCAACAGGCTCTTGGAACCCCAGAGCGAGAGCTTCTGTCCTATGCCTTCTTCCCAGCCCTCTCCTGGACATACGCTTGCTGTCAGTAGGTGCCTATCTTTGCATCGGTTTTCTTTTCCTTTTCCTTTTCAGGACTTTGGAGTTACTGTAGGATACTGAAACATGAGCTGTCTGGGCCTGACTTCAGGGGGTCACGTAGTCATATAGATGACCCTTAGATGTGAAATGTTTGGATGTGAGATCACTATAGTAAAAATGAAATTGAAAGAGGACAATTAGTAGGAAGTCTTTCTAAGTTAAAGTGTTAAGGTTTCAATCCAAGTTAGTGGAGGAGAATGAAAGTGAGTGAAGAGTCTGTCCAGAATGACCCTTGCAGGTTTGTGATGGGAACGGTAACACGTCTTGTCTTTGCAGGTGGTTCTGATTACAGCCTCGTTTTTGTGCTTTTTAAAAAATATTTATTTATTTATTTATTTTAAAGGCAGAGTTACAGAGAGAGAGAGAGAAAGAGAGGAAGAGTCAGAGAGAGAGATCTTCCATCCTCTGGTTCACTCCCCAAATGGCCACAATGGCCAGAGCTGGGCTGATCTGAAGGCAGGAACCAGGAACTTCTTCCAGGTCCCCCATGTAGGTGCAGAGGCCCAAGCATTTGGGCCATCTTCTGCTGCTTTCCCAGGTGCATTAGCAGGAAACTGGATCAGAAGTGAAGCAGCCAGGACTCGAACCTGCGCCTATATGGGATGCAGGCATTGCAGGCAGTGGCTTAAACTGCTGTGCCACAGTGCCAGCCCCCATGTTTGTACTTATTAAAGATTGGTATCTGAATTTGAAACTATTACTGCACCTCATAGTCTCAGGGACATCAAAGTTACGCTAAAATGTTCTTGTTTTAAAAGGATGGATTGGATTGGTAGGCAGATGAGGAAATGAAACCAGGGAGGCCTTGTTTGCAAGCCTGTTTTGCCCGGGAAAAGAAACAACACAGAGTAGCCGCTAACACCTGCTGCTGGATCTTAGTGCGTGCTGAGCATTTCTGCATTCTCATTCATTTACTCTCCCCAACTGCTCAGACTACCCTCACCCCCACGGAGGTGCTCAGCAAACAGGGAGGTAAAAGCACAAAGGCTTTTGTAACCGATCAGCCCTAAGTTTTGGCCTTGTTAGTTGCCTTAACCAAAACCCGTGCTCAAATCTGGTTTGCAGGTTGTGCACTAGGAGCAAGCTTTCCACAAAGCCCAGTCCTTCCTTCAGTATTGTCCTACCAAATCAAGCCACGTAGCCTGGCACGCATGGGCTGTCTCCTCTGCCAGTGTCACATTTGCTATGTCCAAAGGAAGTTATTTTTTTTCCTATTTGAGACACAGTAGGGTTAATAAAAATGACAACCTCTGGGTTACTAGTAAATCTTGATCATCTTATTGTTCTATTAATTCCATGCCATTGTTTTCAAAGCTGACTCCTGGTGTAAAAAATTGTGCTTCAATATTATCCCTGTGACCTGGAGAACTTAACCATCTCAGTGCCCAGGAAATTTTCCTTCCTCCTTTGCCTTGTGCTCCGAGAGCTTCTCCACCTCTTTGTCACCAGAGAGCAGTGTTGCACTGTGTGGAATAAATAGTGAACCTAAGGATTTAGCTTTAATTCACGGGTTCCAAGATCTCAACAACCCATGCTACCCCTTTGCACCCCTACCTCATCTTCTCACTCCCATTACGATTCTAGAAGGTGCTCAAGTATTGGTGCTTGAACTTTACTAAATGACTTCCATTCTGAAGTACTGTTTGGCAAGCTTGTTAGCCAAGTTCCTTGCTGCCCTTGTTGTATTAAGCCTCCCCTCTTTTCCTTGTAGGGAAATGTGAGTGCAATTCAAAAAGTTCCTAGAACTGCAATTATAAGGTTGGTGTATTTTTGTGCAAAACATTTTTGAAATCCATGCATAGATTTTTCGTAGTAGGCATTTCCCTTGTACTTTTTGAAGAACCCTCATTTGCATAGATTTCAAAATTGTTTGCATCAAAATCAACAGATTCTTTTTTTAAGGATTTCTTTTATTTATTTGAAAAGCAGAGCTACAGAGAGAGAGGGAGAGGGAGAGGGAGAGGGAGAGGGAGAGGGGGAGAGAGAGAGAGAGAGAGAGAGAGAGAGAGAGAGATCTTCCATCCTCTGGTTCGCTCCCCAGTTGGAGTAATGGCTGGGGCTATGGCTGGGCCAGGCTGAAGTCAGGAGCCCAGAGTTAATTCCAGGTCTCCCACGTGGGTGCAGAGGCCCAACCACTTGGGCCATCTTCTGCTGCTTTCCCAGGTGCATTAGCAGAGAGCTAGATTGGAAGTGGAGCAGCTGGGAATCGAACTGGTGCTCATATGTGATGCCAGCGCCACAGGTGGCATCTAAACCTGCTATGCCACAGCACCGACCCCTAAACATACCTTTTAATTTCATTTCCTATGAACTTTTTGACGTTCCCTTGTATTAGTATTATTATTTTACAGAAAATAGGGCCTTACTGTATTAAACAATTTCCCCAAGGTTATCCAGCTAGTAAATTGCAGCAATGAAACACAAACCCAGGTCTGTCCGGTCCTAGTCGCTTGCTGTTATCAGTGTGCTTAGGACTTGTCTTAATCATGTCTCAAACAGACCATTGCAAAAGAGCATTTAGTTTGACCCAGGAAGCAGGGAGATACTTCTAGATCAACTGTGAGGGAGGAGTCGTGTCACCCGTCTGAATCTCTCGCAGCATGTCAAGGTTACCACCCGGGAAGTGAAACGGCTGCTTTGTGAGCCTGACTGTATTTCCATGTTTCAACTCATATTCTGTCCTTTCAAAAGATGCAGTGAGATTAGGATGCTCTCGGCCAGCGCTGTCCAAGGAAGGGGTAACGTGAGCTACAAGTGAAAGCTATGTGTATACTCTAAAATATCCTACTAGACACATTAAAAGTATTTAATTCCATTTTATTAAACAAAATGTATCCAAAAAAATTTTCAACATGTAATTTAAATAAAATGTTGAGATAGTTCATGTTCATTTTTTTTTCATACTAAGTCTAGAAGTTTGGCATATACTTTTGTCCTCACAGCACTTCTGGCTACATATTGGGTGCTCAGTAGTGATTCCTGGCTAGTGGCTACCATCCTGGATGTTGCACCTCTGGACTCACTTAATGTCAGCCTTCCCTTTATCTCCCTAAGGAGTGGAGGGATGAGGGATGTCACTAAGCCTGCCTCCCAGGCGTAGCCGCTCTCTCTAGCCAAGTGAATCTGTTGGAGAAATGCATACTTGGATCATTCTGTGAAGTACGAGTCTGTGGAGGGAGAGAACTTTAGTCTGTCCTGGAATTTTGTGTTTTTCTTCTCCATGTTGCTTCTTTGACTCTGAAGTTAGGACATTTTACTGTCCCCTGCCATACCCTTCCCCCTGTAGGAATCCAAGGGGACAGAATTTCCCGTATCCACCAATATCTATTGAATCAGAGGACTTCCAATGTTACCCAAAGCATTAACTAGCTGAGCATTAAGCAAAAGTCTCTAAAATTTTTAGAATCTTAGCAACACTGAATTGAAAGTTAATCCTTTCTTGAAAACACAACAAACAAAACAATTCTAAGAAAGGAGGTACCAGGAAAGTTATGATTTCCCACTGCTGTTTGATCTGTGACTGGAGTCCCACAACACCGTCCCTTCCTGCCTTCACATTCCACATCTATTGCCGGTGGTTCAACCAAAAGGGAGTAAAGGCACAAAAAGTGTTCATTTCTAGCACTAATGGACTTGGCACCATGCTCTCTGAAAAGCTCTGGGCACGGAGGGCTACAGACAGTTGATATTCTTCCAAAACTTCTCTTGAATTATTAAAGACTACTCTCATTTGGCTTTTACAATTCCAGAGGGTTTTTTTGTTTTTTTGTTTTTTTGTTTTTTGGCTGCGAGAAATAAATCACCAACTTGTGTTTAGATCAAGGCATTGAAAATTGCTGGGCTTTGTTGATGCCATGGGTTAAAACTGGGCAGGCCTTGTCCCTTCTCTTCATGCTTCCATGGCCTCTGGTTTTAGCCAAGTGCCTCTTGCTTCAAAGAATAGTTACCCAGTTAAAACATTTTACCTGAATCTTGCCTGAGATGCTTAGCTCCAGCTCTTGAAGCAAACTTTTATATCACTCTCGGATGTAAGCCGTGGTAGGTTATGTTTTCCTTCAAAATGGATGTTCTTTTTGGCTCAGTTTGCAAAATTGTCATTTGTGGAATGAATACTTGGGTTTTCACTGTGGTTCCATAGACTCTATGAGGACTTTTAATAGAAGTAGTCATTTAATATTTATAAAATGTCTACTGTGTGCCAGACATTATTGGGCTCTTCTAGACCAAGTTCTTAGAAGGAAGGGACTATGTATTATTCCTACTAATATGTGCATTGTCCAGCATGGTGCATGGAGTGTGGTGGGTGCTCAGAAATGTTTAGTGAATGAACAAGAACAAATGAGAGATTGTAGTACCTGCTTTCCAGGGACTTACGAGCCTTCGAGACTTGAAGCCATGTCCTACCAATGTCTTCTTCTAGACTGAAATCATGTATAATTTTATCTGAGAGCCAGAGAGATAGAGAGAGCTCTCCTTTTCTGGTTCACTCCCCAGATACCCATAATGTCTGAGACTGGGCTGGGCTGAAGTCAGGAGCCTGGAACTTAATCCAGGGCTTCCACGTGGATGACAGGTGGCATATACTTTTGTCCCAACCACTTGAGCCATGAGTGCTGCCTCTCAGGATCTGCATAAACAGGAAGCTGGAGTCAGGAGCTAGAGCTGGAGTCAAACCCAAGTATTCCAATGTGGGACATGGGTGTCCTAACTGACGGCTTAACCACTAGGTGCACCTTACTTGGAATATTTTAGAAGTTCACTTTTTTTTTTGACAGGCAGAGTGGACAGTGAGAGAGAGAGACAGAGAGAAAGGTCTTCCTTTGCCGTTGGTTCACCCTCCAAAGGCCGCCGCGGCCTGCGCGCTGCGGCCGGCGCACCACGCTGATCCGATGGCAGGAGCCAGGTACTTCCTCCTGGTCTCCCATGGGGTGCAGGGCCCAAGCACTTGGGCCATCCTCCACTGCACTCCCTGGCCACAGCAGAGAGCTGGCCTGGAAGAGGGGCAACCGGGACAGAATCCGGCGCCCCGACCGGGACTAGAACCCGGTGTGCCGGCGCCGCTAGGCGGAGGATTAGCCTAGTGAGCCGCGGCGCCGGCCCAGAAGTTCACTTTTATTATGGAATTTTGGCCACTGAATTTGATTCTGGGTCACAATCAATTCTGTAGTAGAAAAATGACAAGGTGTGTGCCAATCATTTAGTGATTCTCTTTAATATTTTGGTGGGTTAAAAAAAATTCTCATGTGCACAAGGGAGGGTGAGGTATAAGGGTCATGCGATTCCTTAATGTTGAGATGGATATTGGATCCCAACTGACAGTAATGACCACACAGGAAACTAGGGAATGAATTTGGTATGTGCTCTTCACTATTTGCAGTTCTGAAACCTATAGCAGACATTAGGGGTTCTTAAAACTAAGGAAAGGAATGGACTAGATTTCAAATGAAACTATGAGAGATATGAATTCTTAAGGGTACTTCCAGAGTTGTAAGTGACATTCATATAAATCAGCTTTCACTCTACTGTCTTAAGGCGAGTAGAGGAGGAGAATATGTATTTGAGAACTGCCTGGTTGTTGAAGAATCTGCATATTGTTAAGGGATAGGCTCACCTGATGCTCCTTCCAGGGCTCTCTGGAGAGTGACTGGTTTAGTCCGGCTCATCAGTTGTTACAGAACAGGCATGGGTGTGATCCACCATGAACTGTACTCTGCCCAGTCCAGCTGAGAGACAGGAAGTATAAAACATGTTTACTATCTCCTGGGGTCTAGAGAAGTGTGTGTAAAAACAATTAGGGCTGGCATTGTGGCGTAGCAGGTTAAGCCTCTGCCTGTGACACCGGTATCCCAAATGGGTGCCAGTTTAAGACCCGGTTGCTTCACTTCCAATCCTATTGTGCCTGGGAAAGCAACAAAAGATGGCCCAAGTGCTTGGGCCCCTGCACCCACGTGGGAGACCCAGAAGAAGCTCCAGGCTCCTGACTTTAGCCTGCCCCAGTCCTGGCTGTTGTGGCCATTTGAGGAGTGAACTAGTGGATGGAAATCTGTCTGTCTGTTTCTCTCTCTCTCCCCTTTTCTTTCTGTAACTCTGCCTTTCAAATGAATAAAAAAAATTAGAAAGCCATCCCATACTTTGCCCTGTAGTTCTTACTGACAGAGAATAGAGAAGAGATCAGAGCTGCCAGAGATGTCTGCCTTGATCTAGACTTTGAATTGTCTTGAGTGTTGATGAGACAGAAAAGAAGACAGAGCAGACAGCAAGTGAAGAACATAAGTCCCATGGGGAAAAGACATAGAAATGGGGCTGATGTCTTGGGAGGAGACAAGCACAAGATGCTAACACTGACAGGAGATGTAATGAGGCCACATGAAGAAAGAACTTATCCCAGTCTTCTTGGTTTGGATTTCTACTTTGCAACCAGACTGCGTATAATCTTTTGCAAGCAATGGCCTGAAAACCATCTTCTACGAAGTTTAAGATTTACTGTAGCTTGGACTAAAGGGTAAGGAAGTTGCAGTGAAAAGTACTTCCTTGGAATTTTCTGTACAAATCCTGTTACAAGTTGGTGTCAGAGTGGAGTAGAAAGGATGGAGCAGGGAAACATGTCACATGTCACGTGGTTGAAGGGGGCAAGATTGAACCATTCAATATTTAGCTTTAAGTATTCATTTCTATTTTGGAATACAGATTTCTTTGGTAGGATATTGGAATCACTGGCACAAATGGGGAAATTTGGAAGAAAAGCTCGTTTTCCTGGTTTGGATGGCGGGAAGTTTTATTTTGTTGCATATGAAGTAATAGCATAATTTACAAGTGAAGATGTCTCTTAGACATTCATAAGGCCCTTAGAGCAACCCCCAAGCCAAGCCACACTGACTTAAAGGACACTCAGGTCCCCACACCTGAAGCAGAATTTTGTTTAAAACTCTACAATAATTTGTTTCATCTGTGTTTCTCAAAACTGTATTCTTTTTCCTACCAGGTCATCACTAACTTTTCCCATTCATCTAGTGTTTAACCCTTTAACCCTAGAGATGTAGGCTTATTAAGCACATGCTGGATTTTTTTAATTCATTATTTTTAAAGTATTTTTGATAGGCAGTTAGAAAGAGAGTCCCATCTGGTGGTTCACTCCCCAGACGCCCACAACAGCTGAGGCTGGGCTGGGGATGAAACCAGGAGCTGGGAATGCAATGCAGTTCTCCCACATGGGTGGCAGGGACCCAAATACTTGAGCCATCACCATTGCTTTCCAGGATCCTCGTTAGCAGGAAGCTGGAGCCAGGAGCTGGAACCAGGCACTGCAATATGGAACACAGATGTCTTAACTAGTGTCTCAACAGCTAGGCTAAATGTCTACTCCTGCTCTTGGTTTTAATCAGTGTGGCAGTAGTCTGTCAGCCACTCAAGGCCAACATGGCTGCCTGTGGGATTCCAGTGATAGTCCATATTAGCTTCCCTCAAATCCTAAACTCCAGGTGAATACCTTCAACAAACTTCCTAATGCCAACATTGTTAGCTGGCACCTCAAACTCACCTTGTCTAAGATTGAGCCCATTAATAGCCCCTTTCTTTCCCTATGCCAGACTTGTGTTCTCCTTGGTCTTCTCCCATTCTGGTCAGAGCTCTCCTGCCTCACCTGGATTTCTGCAATTACTTCTCCCTGCCCCAAGGATTTTCCTGTTCTCCACCTTCTACATGCAATTGATTACCTTTTAGAAACTTAAATCGTGTTACCCTCTGGTTGCAATTCTTTTTACTAGTTTCTAGTTGTAGGCTGGGTTAAGCCCCCGCTTATGTACCAGGCCCAAAAGACCACGTGCAACATGGCACAAACATGCCTCGTCAACTGCTCCTCATTGGCTCAGCCCCATGTCATTCACAGCCATTGAGCAAATCCTTCCCAGCCTTCCTTGCTGGTGAGCACCTCAGCCTCCAGGCCATGTTTTTTTCTCAGGCATCCCAACCCAACTCCACCCCTAGGCTTTATGGTGGGGCTGAATTGTGGCCTGACCACTTTTAGGGTGGGACCCATTAGCCATGATTACTCCTCCCTCAAACTTTCCCATGCCTGGAAATCTTTACTTTTTAATGTGCGAAAACTGGAAAGGCTACAGTGTAATCATTCATTTAGCCATATGTTGCTGTTGTAGTATATATCTGCTACAGTTCTGCCAGAAATCAGGTTAGCAGATTGTAGCCTGAAAAAGGTTAAGCTTAGACCCATTAAGAGGAAAAGGCATTACGCACAGAAGTGTTCATTCCACTGTTCTTTATAATAGCAAACATTATTGCGGTGTCCAGTGACTGGGAATTTGACATTTCCAAGGAGTGATACATTGTACAACAAACACTCTACATATGTAAATAACCTAAGAAGCTGCTTATGCTAAGTGGAAAAAACTCAGGATCCACAATTGTTAGATGACATATTATGAAAATATAAAAAGTGTATGGAGGTGGTGGGGCATTTGGCCTAGGGATTAGATGCTTGTTAAGGAACATATGTCCCACATTAGAGTACCTGGGTTCGATTCCTGGCTCTGGCTCCCAATTCCAGCTTCAAGCTAATGCTTGCTGTGGGAGGCAGCGAGTGAGGACTCAACTAGCTGGGTTCCTGACAGCCACGTGGAAGACCTGGATGGAGTTCCTTGCTCCCAGCTTTGGCCCAGTCCAGTCCTAGTTGTTACAGGCATTTGAGAAATGAACAAGCAGGGGGGGAGATCCGTCTCTGTCTGCCTCTCAAACAAAATGAATTAATTAATCAGTTAATTAATTAATTTTTAAGTGCATAGGAAGAATCTGAAGGGACTAGCAAGAGATTATCACTGAGAGTGTGGAGGGAGGTTTTGAATAAAATTTCCCTCTTTCTTGTGGTGACCCAGTTTAAATGAGTAAGTTACTGGGAATGATGATACAGCTCTAACAACAGGAGCTAACCAGATACCTGTGCTTTTTAGGATACCCTGTCTCAAAATCTGTTGTTTTGTTTCCACCCACAGTTTGAAAATCTGAACATAGTCGCCGAATGCCTGTTTTCTCTGGTCAACGGGGATGACATGTTTGCGACCTTCGCACAGGTCGAGCAGAAGAGCGTCTTAGTGTGGCTCTTCAGTCGTCTCTATTTATATTCCTTCATTAGCCTTTTCATATATATGATTCTCAGCCTTTTTATTGCACTTATCACAGATTCTTATGACACCATTAAGGTAAGCATTTATCGGTAATTGCTTCCCCAGGAAAACCACTGCAAATTGTGTATAGATTACAACTTCATCGTATACGTTTTTCCCTTAAAATATTGCAGTTCTGCTTAGATTTTGATGGTTTGTAGAAAGAAAGCTGTTAAATGCTATTGATCAGTTTTAAGTATGCAACTAGGACATTGTCATTGTTACCAGACCCAGGTGGATTTGCTTGCAGATCAGGTGGGCAGGAGGAAAGGAGTGGGTAAGGATGGGCCAAGTATGGGGAGTCAAGTTGTTGGCCGCTGCCCGTGTGGCACCCTGGAACCCGGGTTGGGACAGTTAAGTGCCAGCGATAAGGCGCCACTGCCACCCTGACCACCCTCCAGACACTGACACAGACAGGATGACGTGGTCACTTCTGTGGAGCAAGTTTCCTTTAAATCGTGAAAGCAAAGATTTTGTGACTGTGGCTTCCAGCTTTCCTAGGCCACCGGATGGGCTCTGTGTCCTCCGAGCCTGGGCCCACGTCACTGATTGATAGCTTGGGGAAGTGCTCTTTCTCAGGTGCCGCTTACCTCTACAGCAGGTGGTTGTGCTTGGAAAGCCCTGCTCTAGGATCAGTGTTGGCAACTTTGGGTGCTGTCCTTGCTTCACCACTCTTAGACTGACCCAGAAGAAAGGCAGACCAGTGGAGAAACTCCTGGGCTTGTTTTGAGCATGTGTGGAGACTGTGGTTTAGGTGGGAATGAGGACTGGCTTGAGCAGTGGGACTTGGGTGGAAGGAGAACTATACCTTCCTGCCCTGCAGGTGCATGGCTTTCCTGTGGCAGTGTCCCTGGGGTGGGCCACTGCTCAGTGTTGGGGAGGATGACCTCCCTAGTCATATGGGGGGGGTGTCTCAGGATCTTTGTGTTTTGGAAAACCCTACTGTCTTCTGTCCCACTAAACGACCCCTTTCATAAAAGTAGAGAAAAGAGAAATTGCTTTCCAAGCAATTGTACGTGGGCCGTATATGCAGGGGAATCTTATCTGATCTTGCAAAGGCACTCACACTTTAGACTTTTCATTATTTCTTTCGTTTTCCTTTTCAACACACCCCTCCCCTGCTCTACCTTGGCCTGCTTTCTGGAGTTTTCCTTTGGATTGTTCTCTGTCCCCGTGGTGGCCCTGGCTTGGCGTTCTGTACAGATTGATTCATCATTGTTAATATTGCTTTTGGGCCCTGAGCTGGCAATGTGGGAGAGTTTTGTTTTAGCAAAGGTGGATTTTTGTTCATTGACAATGGGAGCACTTTCTTGAGCTCTGTAAATAAAATAATGGCCTTGTACACTTTATTTAAAGAGATACCAACAGAACGGGTTTCCTGAAACAGACCTGCAGGAGTTTCTGAAGGGGAGTGGCCATGAAGGGGAGCATCAGAGAGAGCCCTCAGCCTTCCTGTCCTGCACCTGCTGTCGAAGGAGGTCAGTGTTGTGCTTGATCGGCACGTTCCTGAGACAAGCTGCTCTGTTGCGCTGAGAAGGAGTCATCCCAAGGTTAACGCTGAACCTGGGAGCCAGCTCACTGTGGGAAATCAGCCATCTTTCCTGTCTTCCCTCCCACTAGAAAAGACTTTAGGAATGAATCGTTCCTTTTCAACAGGGCTGTTAGGAAGCAACAGGACATACTGAAATCTCTTAGGAAGAGTAAGAGACTCTTGTGAGAAGCCATGAATTATGCCCCTCGAGTCAAGAAACTGATTAAGTGGCCAGAGCAAGAGGTTTGAGCTCTCATTGTTGGAGGCGGAGCCCTGGGCTCGCCAACGCGTTTTCCCTCTTCACAGTAGAAACAGAGCAGGAAACCTGCTGAACAGCACGCTGACGTGTCCTCGGCTGGAGCGCACACCGGTAGCTCCTTGTCATCAGCTGTGCTTGTCAGGACCCACAGAAAAGTGGTCTGGACCTCGTGGACAAAGCACACCACAGAGTGGGTTGGGACCGCGTGGGGGTTAGATGAGCACCGTTTTCCTAAGTGTGCCCATGTTTATTTTCATCCTAAGTCAGGAGTGGGGATTTGTAACAAGAAGGAGACCCTCTCCGTGTCTCTTCAGGAGGATTCCCTAAACCAGCTTCTCCAAGTAGATAGAAGAACGTAATTACTCCCCAGAACCACAGGGTGTATTTTTCTGTTAATCAATGCATCCGCAGCTTGGGATTTGGAAGGCTACAACTGAGCATGTCCGAGAATGTCTGGTAAATATGAAATGAGATCTTCCGAGCAGAGGTAGGCTTTTAAAATCACATTTCATCCTCTCAGAGCATTAAGTTGCTGCAGTGGAAGCCGGGATGAAGGGAAATTAATTTTCTTAATAGGCAGCAGCCTCCTAGGAGTCGCGCGGGCTAAGGAAAGTCTCTCAGCGTTGATTTTCTATTGTGTAGTTAACGGCAAGGGACAAACATTCACTGGCGAATGTAGCTGTGAATTCTGAAAAGCAATTGCTAGGTCTTTGGTGTGTTTGAGTTTTAGCCTTGGTTGGCCCCTCAGCACACCCTAGAGGGTTGCTCCGTCTGTCTTCTTGTGCAGCATGTGGACTGAGTGAAGAGATCTGAGGAGTGGACTGAGGGACTGACTGCTGAGATTGGGCCTGAGTGCTAAGAAGGGCAACGTGGACAGGCAATCTGCTCTCGAGGGTGCCGAGTGCGGTTGAGAAGATGCATGGCACGAAAGAGGAGTTTGTGCTCATCAGGAGGAAAGAAGGAGTTAAAGGGTAGAAGAGAATCCACCGAGGAAATCAGCGATGGAACTGGGAACTGGAATGATGAAAGATTAAAAAAAAAAGGGGGGGGGAATATCGAAACATAGAAGTAGCTGTTGCCATGTTAACAAAAAGATGGTTGTGAGTGAGGTCGGCTGGAGCAGCTACAGTGGAGTTATTAGAACAAAGCCCCCCATCCCTGGGAAGAGGGGGTTGCAAGGAAGCTGCAAAGAAGGAATAAAGGCTGTGGGACCAGCTGGAAGGAAATGGACTATACTGGGGCTTGAGAACATGTGATGGCTTTGACGCCACCAAAAATTTACTGTAGCTCAATGACTGTCAGGAATAGAACTGGAGAATGGGATAAACTGAGGAAGGCCACGAGCAGAGGATGAATACTGGAGAAGGAACTCACCAAGGCCACAGATTAGACTCTGTGCTCCCTGTCTGCTGGCCATGATGGCGGCACCTGTCCATCACAGCTCTGCCTCCTGCAGAGCATGCGTGTAGCCGTTCATTTCCAACAGTCTAGCAACCAAGCCACAAAGGTGCCTTCCAGTTGTTGGCAGGGCCTCTCACCTGATGTGTTGTCAGCCTTTTGTGACTTCAACTGAAACACCCAAGGGGAGCTTCTTGGGAAGGAAACGTTTTCTTGAGTTTGCAGTCTGGAGGGTGCAGTTGAGGACTGGGCGACCCCATAGTGCAGTGTCTGGTGGAAACTGGCCATAGTAGGTGTGGAGGTATGACCACCTAGAGATCCTGGAAACAGAACAACTAGACGGAACTTGAACTCAAATCAGCAGCCCTCTCCAGAGAACTGTCTTAGGGCACACCCCCAGTGACCTAAAGACCTCCCCCCAGACCCACCTCTCAGATGCCAAAATTAGATCACGTATCAATCATTAAGACATTAAACATCCGCATGAGTTTTGGAGATACAAGTTCCAGTTAACCCACAACATGTGAACACTAGAACACCTGCATTTTTGTTTTGGACCCTGCCTTGACCAAGTGTGTCTCAGGCCCTCTCCTAACCCTCTTTCCATCAGCATGAGTTAGATGATCTCTGGAACCCCTTCCAGTTCTAAAGCGATGTGGCTCTTTGGAGAGAGATGCTTGATAGAACAGATGCAGAGTTGACTTTTCCTCCTCTCTACCATGACGAAGGAGGGGAAAAACTGGCTCTCCCAGCCACTGGTAAGGCTTTGTTGAGGAGGGGAAGGAAGGGTCCTGGATGGATGGTGCTTCACAGTTTGTTTCCAAAAGCTCTACTCAAACTTCAGACCATCCAAATTCCCTGATCCATTTTTCCTGTTATTCATTTCATGCGACACTGAAAAATGGAATTAAAAGGTAGGTTTATTTTGGTGTGGAAAAGTTTTGAAATCCATGCATAGTTTTGTCATAATACACATTTTTTTTAACATCTTCAGACCCTTTATGTGTCTCCTAGAAGATTTTTAAATCATTGCTCTCTTTTCTCCACCCCTTTCTGTTACAGGGAAGGAAGCGATGACCACTTGATACTTATTAACTAAAGTCCTCTTGCCAAGGACAATTAAGTTTCAGTGACAATGCAGAGGAACCCCATACGGCTTGGACCAGCAGTTCCAAAAAGATTTATTTAATTGTGGGTTGGAAAAGAGGAGTGGCTGTCAGCTGTCTGGCCACAACTGAAGTTCCACAGTTGCTTTTTATAAACTTGGATGATGAAGAATAGACCACAGGCTACTACCCGGCACTGGTGCAATTGAACCGTGATAATGAAATGCTCTACTTGTTTGTTAATGATGGCGTGATTGGACAAAACAGCACATTTCAGAGGATGCCAGTCAGTAGTATCTAAGGCATCAGTTTAAATCGTCAAATAAGGTTTCATTGTCAAAGTGATCATTGGGTTTGAAGACATTTGTCTGTTCGGCCTGCACAGAAGCCAAATTGGTTGCAATAGCAAATTAAAGTTTCTTAGCTGGACAGCCTTTCAGTGACCCAGAGTAAACAGTCACAACAGAAGAAGACTCCTCAAAGTGAGCATTTCTTGCCTACTTTATTCTTCAGCAGAATAGGAAGCAGTATTTGGCCTGGACGGTAGGATGTGTAGGAAAGCGTCATTTGGCTGTCTTGTCACGTGTGCTAATTGTTGATTGTCCACTCACGAACTAAACTGTTAGCAGTGATGAGTCATTTTAGTAATGAAACTCCTCTGTGGTGGGAATTTGCTTTTCTCTAGCAAGGAAATATGGTATACTTTCCCCCAATAAATTTATTTTTTATCATACTATATGGCACTACTACTTTTTAAAAATGCAGTATCTTTTAACGTCTACCCAGTAAAGGTTTTTGATCACAACTTCATTAATCACTGGTCTCCAAGAAGGATTTTTCACTTTCTTGAAAGCAGTAAAGGAGACACAGGAGCTCATATTGAAGTTATTCAATCGATGCTTATGATAATGATTTGTGAGGTTAAGATCATTTCATGCATAGAATTATTCCATACTTGAGCTATCTCGGGAGTCAGCTACCTTAGATTTATTGATGAAGAGCAGAATTTGAATGAATTTGGACCCTCATCCCAGGGCTGTCCTTGTCTTTCCCTGGCTTTAGCCGTGGCCCTCTCCCTGAAGCCCCCCCACCCAGACTTCTTCCTCTTCTCCCCTTCCTGTCCTTGCTCCCATTCTTTCTACATGTGTCTAAACCAAATCTGTGCCAAGCAGATAATCCTATTAATAACATTACAGCTTGTAAGAGAGTAAGGGAGTCATGTTTACACACAGAATACTTTGCTAAATTTACCATTTGGGGGGCAGCATTTGCTGTAATGACTAAGATGCTGCTTGGGATGCCCTCCTCCCACATTGGAGCACCTAGGTTCAAGTCCTGGCTCTGCACCTCGTTCCAGATACCTACTAATGCACACTCCGGGAGGCAGAGATGGATGACTCAGTAATTGGGTCCTTGCCACCCATGTGGGAGACCCTGATTGAGCTCCTGGCTCTTGGTCCCAGCTTAGCCCAACCCTGGATGCTTTAGGCATTTGAAGAGTGAACCAGTAGAACAGAGATCTCTGTTTGTGTGTCTGTCTCTCTGCCTTTCAAATAGGTAAAATAAATATACTTTAAAAATAAAATTATTATTTTAGTTAACGTCCTTTTTTCACACACACACAAAGTCAAGAGTTATGTTAGATTTTTAAACTAAAAGCCATTACGCTGGTGGTTCTGGGGTTATTTGCATGGCACCAGAATCAAGTATGTAATTAGAGTGCTTAGTAACTTCTGGGTATGTCCCTGTGTGCTTAAGTCTCTTACTTGTTGTGCAGCTGTGACTGCCATTTAAATAGAAGATTCATGATGGATTTCCACACTCATGTCATTCTTTTATTGGCTTTCATGTTTCCTTTTCTTTCTCTTCACTACAGCTTGACAAAACAAATTCAGGAAGAAAAATCTTTTTCAAGGTCACCTTGCATCAGTGGAAACATTGTTTTCTCCCTTTTAAAATAATTTCAAGCAGTTTACATGTAACCAACTGAATTATCTATTTGGATTTTATTGAAAAATGTTGTATCGTAACTCTGCTAATAGACATGTCTGGGATAAACAATCTTCTCTCCTACCATAGGCCTCCACTTGAAGCATTCAACTGAAATACATGTTCTTTCTGCCTATTGATTTCATTCTGAGAACTCTAATCCTTGTAGGAGCTACCTCTTTGGCTTGCAGTGTCACAAAGCCAGATGCACATCTTAACCCTGTAGGCTTCTGGCTGGGAGAAAAGGCCCTTTGTGGGAGCCATGTAGACAGATGTGAGCTGAAATGCTAGCTTACCCTGTGCTTAGAGGCCCTGAGCATTTTGCTTCTTAGTGAAGATAATAAACTTCAACCAAGTGAGATTGAAATATAAATCACATAACTCACACAAACCCTGGCACTGAATGAAACCTGTCCTCTTGAGTCTCTGCCATGAATGTAAGTAGGTTCCAGGAGAACATGGAATAGTGCAGACATTAAGAGCATTGCTTTGGGGCCATCACTGTGGTGTAGCGGGTTAAAGCCCTGGCCTACAGTGCCAGCATCCCATATGGACACTGGTTTGAGTCTTGGCTGCTCCACATGTGATCCATGTGTCTGCTATGGCCTGGGAAAGTAGTAGGAGATGGCCCAAGTGCTTGGGCCTGTGCACCTGTGTGGGAGACCTAGAAGAAGCTTCTGGCTTCTAGCTCTAGCCATTGCAGCCATCTGGGGAGTGAACCAGTTTTTTTTTCCCTTTTGCCCCCCCCCCCCCCCCCAGCAGAACCTCTCCCTTTATCATCATCCCAGCTCCAGAGTGCTATACCAGGGCTTGTTACAGTGCAGTCCCTGAACCTACACTAACTCCTTGTTATCACCCAAAATCAGTTGTTTCTCTTTGGATCCACTTTTATTGCTGTACAGTCCGTGAGTTTGGACAAAGGTAATTATATTAATGTATTGACCATTATAGTAATAAAAAGAAGTTTCACTCCCCCCAAAAATCCTCTACCTGGTCATTCCTTCTTATCCCCCGCCCAACTCTGGCACCAACCGATCTTTCTGCTGTCTGCACAGTTTCTTCCTTGTCCAAATGTCGTGTGGTTGGAACTCTGCAATCCAACCTTGTGGACTTTCATGCAATTGCTTTCTGGCAGGCATCTGGATGCACCATTTACTTTGTCATCATAAACATTTCTGTGGGGCTGCTGCTTATCTCACAAAGGTGTTGACTCTGACACTGATGTCTATGCCACTGCCAAAGACATTCAAGCTGGGGCTGGCACTGTGATGTAGTTGGTAAAACCACCATCTGTGGTGCTAGCATTCCACCAGAGCACCGGTTCAAGTCCCAGCTATTCCACTTCCAATCCAGCTCTGTGCTGTGGCCTGGGAAAGCGGCAGAAGATGGCCCAAGTCCCTGGGCCCTTGCAGCCATGTGGGAGAACCAGAAGAAGCTTCTGACTCCTGGTTTCAGATCAGTCCAACTCTGGTCATTGTGGCCATTTGGGGAGTGAATCAGTGGGCAGAAGACCTCCCTCTTTCTGTCTCTCCCTCTCTCTTTAACTCTGGCTTTAAAATAAATAAATGAATCTTTAAAAAAAAGATATTTAAACTGGATTTGAATTGGATTACCACAGCCATCCTCACTCTGTCCTACTAGATGCTTCAAGCCCAGAATGTAAAATACTTCTTAACTGGCTTCCTTCTGGACTCAGAAGCTGAGTTTACAGTGAGCTCCCACCAGTAATCATTTTTTTCTTTCAGCTTCCACAGAAAGATTAAGTGCCTCATCACTCTCACCATCCAGCAAATACTCTCCACGGCTAAGGCGAAGTTCTGATCAGCTTATTCCTTAATTAACAAGATGTGATCGGATTTTTAAAAAGGGCTTGCATTGCACAATGAATGAGTTGGGGAGACTAACAGAGACCCTGGCCTTGACCAAATTCGAGTCAAGTTCCTCTAAGCCCTTTTGTCAACTAGGCCTCAACTTTGACCTATAAACATGGCAGACAGCATGAATGGACAAATACTAGCATATTTTCCTATAGCTCAAACTTCCTTCCCTGGGGTAACCCCTCCTCCCCCATAAAGTGTCTGCCTGGGAGAGCTCAGTGCTGCTAGCAAAACCTACTGTGTGCTCCAGCCAGAACCTAGCAGTAGGAAAAGAGCTCCCTGAATGCCCTCATAGAGCAGTGGCTTTATTTACAAGGCCTGCAAGTATACATGCTTCCTTTCCTATTCCCTTTGAGATTTTAGATTTTTTTAAAATCTCAAAGTGAGGAGATAGGGTGTTCCTATCTCCTGGTTCATTTCCAAAATACACACAGTGGTGGGGAAGGCAAAGCCAGGAGCTGGGAACCCAGTGCAGGTCTGCCATGTGGTTGGCTCAAGCCCAGCTCCTTGAGTCATCACCACTGCCTCTTGGAGTTTGCCTTAGCAGGAAGCAGGAATCAAGAGCCTGAGCAGGGAATTGAGTGGAAGTACTCCAACAGGAAAAGCAGGTGTCCTAACCCAAATCTTAACCAGCAGGCCAAATACGCGCCCCGCACTGTGCAGCCCACTTTGAGATTTAAATCTTCTACTTCCCAGAATTGGGTTTGCTATAAACGGGTGATTTCTCCTCCCTCTCCGTCTCCGTCTCCGTCTCCCTCTCCCTCTCCCTCTCCCTCTCCTTCTCTCTCTCCCTCCCCCTCCTCCTTCCCCCTCCCCTTCCCTTCTCCCTTTCCCCTCACCTTCACTTTCCCTGACCTGTTTGCCTTCTGTCATGCGATGACATGACAAGAAGGTCCTCACCACATTCCATTCCCTGAGCTTGAACTTCTCAGTTTCCTAATCTCTGAGCCAATAAATTTCTGTTTATTATTAAAAAAAAAATCATGCTGTGTCATTGGGAAAATAGCATATTAGTGCTGGGAAGACAAAATTAAACCAAATCTCAGAATAGACACTCAAGTTGTTAGGAAAAACAATACAACTCATGGCTGTTGTACTATGGACTCATTTACAGCAAGTGTTGCTGCAAAGCAGTGCATGCAAACCATGGCAAATGTTTCTCCTGCCATCTGTCTCTGCCAGAGAACCAGGGAGGGAGCAAGAAGCTACATGAGTTACATACAAACATTTCTACACCACCTTACAGCACGAGGACAGCAAGACTGATTTCTTAAAGACCCCTGGGAAGTATTGGCTGAGGTGAATGAGGGAGACAATTTATTAGCGTGATGTGTGTGTCTTAGTTTCATAAATTATCCCATGCGCCAGGATACATATGGTTTAAAGAGAATTTTAAATGAAAGCAATTTTTTTTTCCTCTAGCAACACTAATTGCCCAGCAGCAGTAAATTGCTCCTCCCTCACTGTCAGGGGGCTGTGGTCATTAGTGTCTCCTCAAGGTGCAGGAGAAGTCCCCCAGGAGCAATAAATAAAGCGTTCCAATAAAGCGAATTTACATGCTCACCTGAGAGCCTGCCACGAGTATGCACAGAAGGAGAGGATGTTAACAGTGCCTTTTGGACTGGTACCATGTGTCTGTGCCATTGTGTGCGTCATCCGCAGTGACAGGACAGTGAGCTGGGCCTTAGCTCTTGGATTGCCTTTAGAGGACAGTGAGCTGCCATAAATAGTGAATCTTCTGGGGAGGGTGCTGTGGCACAGCAGGTTAAAGCCCTGGCCCAGCCGGCGCCGCGGCTCACTAGGCTAATCCTCCGCCTAGCGGCGCCGGCACACCGGCTTCTAGTCCCGGTCGGGGCGCCGGATTCTGTCC